TCCATCCATAAAAGAAAGACAGAGAATATGATTACACTGGTTATTGGGGGCAGGGAATAAGAAAAATTCAAGGTAAGACAGGATGAGAATTGAGTGATCCTTATCCTGAAACTTTTCAGTGTATTTAAAGAAACCAACTGGTGCAACTTGTATTTCTTATTGTACTAAAAGAAGAAATAGATAAGTGATTTTTAGGTGAGAAGCTCTAATCAGCCTAGCTCCATGTAATCTCTATTTTCTCCCCTGCAAAATAAGAGTAGGGAAGTAGAGAATAAGCTGAAATAGCTGACTTGTGAATAGAAATTACAGGCACGCCTGTTATCTCCAGCAGTGGTATACTGAATAACCTTGAAGAAGGTATCTCATATCCGAGCAATTTTTGTTCCTAAAGTATATACATCTTACACAACTGATTGACAGATGTGACTGATTTTTTTAATTTTTTTTTGCATATTTGCCTGCTCTGTCTCTGTAGTTCTTTGTCCAGTCTTCTGAGGTTTGACTATGGTCTGTGAGCTCTGTTGCAGAGGGCATATAGGTACTGCTTTGGTTAGGCCCTTCCGAGACGTCCGCTTTCAATGGAAAGCTCAAATAGGTAATAAAATGTTATCTATGCTAATTCTATGGTCTGTTAAAAATAAATTATCTCCAAATTTGTCCATTAATTTGCATAAATAGCTTTATGATATGCTGTGCAGAGTCAGATTTGAACTTTTTTAACAGAAATAATATTTCAACAGAGGCAGTCTCAGTCATCTTAATTTAATCAAATTTATTATGACTTCTCAGTCTTATATTTATTTGCATTTTAGTTGAAGAGATAAAACTATATTACCATCCTAAAACTGATGAAGAGTATATGAAACGTCTCTGATCATTAGTTACTATTAGGAGGTCAAACTTTGCTATATTTAATACATAAAAGACAAGGATAAGGAGTTTCAGAATATTTCAAGAAGAGTAGTTCTAGGTCTTTTCATGAAATCAGTCTTCAGTGGGTATATCCTCCAGAAGCTGTCTGGGAGGGCTTCCACAGGTTAGGAACTGAACTAACTTAATTTGTGTGGAGGCAAAGAAAGGCAGTGAAGCGGCAGGGAACTCTGTTAAACCAATTGGCAGCAAGCCATCTGTTAAACAACCACAGCTACGTCAAAGATATCTAAAAATATATCAGTTGCTTTGGGAACATAATGCCCTAACTCCAATAAAAAGGCACTTTGAAAACAGTAAAAAATGTGTTTTAAAATAAATTGCATTTATTCACATAGCAATGAAATACAAGAACTGCTCTCATAGACATTGTTAGTAAGTCCTGAATAGTTCTGTGAAATAATTATTTAATTGTTAGTCTCTACTTCTCCTCTCTGGAGTAGAAACTGTCATTCAGTCCCACTGTCTGTCTCCCTGGTTCCCCCACAGCCTGACATTTCTGTCATGTCCTGTCTTCCTTTTCACTTCTCCTGAGTTTCTCCCTCGTATATTGTCCATCCAAGCCACCTTGTACAGTCTTATTTCCATCCCACTCACTTCATTTACTTGCCGTCGCTCTCCTCTCATCCCTGCCCTTCTGACAATCCTGCTGCTTGGACCTTCCTCTCTGTAATTATTCCTTTTTACTTAGGATTTCTTCTTCCCATGTTCCCCTCTCCCGCCTGCTGCTTGGACCTTCCTCTCTGTAATTCTTCCTTTCTACTTAGGCTTCCTTCTTCCCATGTTCCCCTCTCCCATCAGAACTATAGACCTCTTCTTTCTTTGCAGCCTCCAAGCTGGCTTTTCTGCATTTCCGCCTCTCACCTGAACTCTTGCTTTTACCTTCGAATGCTTCCACAGCTGTGGAACCCCTCTGTTCCGCCTCCATCTTGTGTGCATCTGTCTTCTTTGGAAGACCTTATGTGGGAGAAACTGGAGACATGTCCTTGCTGTCATTTTAGTATTTCATGCATTTTTACTGCAGTGTTGTCCCCCTACTTTTATATAGTTATCAGCCTCAGATTTGAGAGATCAGTGTTTAGCTTCAGTCTTGATGAAGGCATCAGCGTGACAGCTCTGAATGAAGTCTCATCATTTTTTCCTGCTTCTGCCCACATAGTAGCATCGTCATTGCTGTTCGAGAGCCACGGTGACAGCCGTGATTTGTGATTCATTTTGTGCCAATGCTATGGCCAAGCAAAGGAGGCTTGTGGTGAGACCTCCAGGAAAAAACTGTCCATAAAACAAAGTTTAACATTCTTAATTCAGCCTTGCTTTTGCTGGCAAAATTTGAAGGCGCTGAGTCACCAATTCATTAATAGGTTGATGCTGGTACCAGACAGTTAACTTCTGAGCTGGACACAGATGAAAAGCTAGTTTTGCCATCTCTCTTCCACCCTTCCTTCAAACCTGAAGTATTAGAAAACTGGGCCACCAGCGTTTTGATACGTTGTTAGGTGAAACAAATAGTTGTTACAGTTAGACACAAAGTATCTGCAAATCACTGCAGCACCGCTCATTTCATTCATGTTTGTATAGCTAATTAAGAGTCTGCTTCTAGTGTGATGGTGACTTCAGTTCCTGTACACTGCACATTTTAACTTGTGTTATTTGAGGACATCCCAATAGTGGACTTTCCAGTGGCTGATTTCAAGAGCAGATGTCACTGTAATAGTTGTTTGCTTAGCAGCAGCCTTTTTTGGTTACATCCATCCAGTCAGGCTGCAAATATGAAAACAGGAAGCATTCCCCTGTTTGTAGAAGTCTGCCTGCAGTACTAACTATGAGCATATATATTTTGAAACAAGTATTTTTAGAAAGTTCTATTGAGGGCTGTACTGGTGTTTAGACTTCCTGCCCTTTCAGATTTTGTTGCTTAGTCTATACATTTTGAATAATCACATTGCCTGCTAGCAGTGACATTTTGTGAAGGTCATTTTTCTTGTGAAGTTGGGGAATGGACTTGAATTTCATTGAAGGACTCCCTGAGCTGCAGGATCACTGTTTATGGAACTCTTTTACATCGTGTACTACCTTTGAAGCCTGTTCAGAATTTTAACTAATGATATCTTCAAAGTGTCACTGTGCTGAAGGGCGAAAAAGAAATCTCAAAATGCATTTTATATTTAAAGACAGTTTCGAATAGCTTTGAAGCGTGATATTAATGGTATTTTATTGTCAGCAAAGTGTCCCTTTACCATTGCAATGCCTTTTTCTTCTATACTGTAAAAATCATCAGGTCTGTGGATAGTTCTAAGAATTTTTAATGTGGTTGATAATTTAATATCTCAACAGGTATCTTTAGGCAATTTCCCTCAGTGGAGAGGTTTTAGTTTTGTCTACATCGTTCCTAGACTACTTCTTCTAATTTCCCCTGTGTAGAAATACAGACACTGGGTTGTATTTATACACCTTTTCTGTTTCTGAGTAGAGGATGGCAGATACTAAAACTAGCATGATATGCTTGAAATAAAAGAGACTGTGGTGTCAGCTACTGAATTAAAATTGCTTGGTTTTGTATAAACCTAAGTTCCCGCTTCCCACAACTGAGCACGATAGCAAGTTTGCTTATTAGCAAAAGATCTGAAGGTTTTCTTGGTAGCTGTGTCTGATGTCTTCTGATACTGACATATTCCTTTAAAACATGTTAAATGTTAGTGGCAATGTTTGAGAATATGGCCACTTGAATTATCTGTACTATTTAGAGATTATTTTTTTTTTAAATTTCTGTTGATTGCTTCCTGTAAGTGTTTTAGCCGTATAGCTAGCATAGGACTCCTGGATCCTTCTGATAGGGATGCCTTTGGGTTAATTCTGTCGTTTTCCTTCTCTGTGGATTTGTTTTTCTATTTGTAAACTAGGAGCTTACAAAAGTACAAGGATGTGATTTATAATTTAATCTTTCCCACAAAATAATCTGGGTTTTTTTGCTCATTTTATTCTTTTGCTATATCAAACTTCCAAGAAAATTTAGCTTATTCACAATGTCCTTATATTTAAGATGTACTTTTCCATTTCTGTTTTGATAGCTGTACTAACAAAGTGTTGTAGTTTGACTTGATGTTTTACAATGGATTTCACAGTTTTATGAACATTGCCAACATTTTAGTTGTGCCAGATAACTTAGATTCTTGTTTCAGAAGATGAAACAAGATGATCCATTGAACAGCAACTACTGTAAGGGAACTGAAGAGAGGGTAGGACTGTAACCTGCCTTTGAGTTGTGATGTCCTAACTAAAGTTAGAGGTTTGGAGACTGGACAGATTGTGCATTTGAGAAAATCTGTGTTAGGAAGTAAGGACAGAAGATTGTGCATGTCTTGGAAAATATTCCGTCTGATTCCCTGTGTAGAAAATAACTACAAAGACAAGAATTTTCAGACTCTGCTTCCAGGCTTCTCAATGCCCACTGCATATGGACTGCTTGTGAATAAAAGCCACCAGCCTGTTTGGAACTGCTGTTTTGCTGACATGATCAAAAGGGAAGGCCTCAGCCTCTGGCCATTATCATTACCATTTTACTGTTATCCTGCCTGCCTGCTACATGGGCTTCCCTTTGCAAATTTTTTTTTCCTGTCTTCTGCGCAGACTAATTCACCCTTCTCATGCCTGGGAAAATCTCAACGGGAAAATGTACATGAGATTGATGAGGAAGAGAAGACAGTTACATGTGGCCTTTTCTTTGCTTATTCACAAACGTTCTTTTCTTTATGTTAGAAGGAGTTGTTGTTTTTTGTGTGTTGTTAATGTTAGTTAATATTTCCTATATGTATAGGGTTCTGACTTCTAACATTTTCTGTAGGAGTCTTTACGGTACAGCTAACAGTGCTTCTTCCCAACCCCTTGTCTTTCCCTGTTTTACACAACCAAGAGAAAAATTCTTTAACATATTTCAGTGTTGAGAATTTAGCAAGGATGTCTCTTGGCAGAAACGAAAAAAGGAGATACTCTTACCCAAATTTTAGCTGTTTTCGTATTTTTCTTGTCCTTGTACTTCTTCACTCACTTTGCTATTTAATCTTTGATTGCAGGCCACTAAAGAAGTAATAGAGCGAGAAGCCCCAGGGATGGCCCTGGCAATGCTGATGGGATCACTTAATGTTACTCCTCTGGGCATGCTCTCTAGGTAAGACTATTTCCTTCAAAATATGAGGTGAACTGTTTCCTTCGAAATGCACATTGTCCTGAAATGCCTATATACAAATAACTGAAGATTGTCATTGTTGTCAAGACTGTAAGTCTTAACTTCAGAGAAGTGGCCAAATTCCAAGAATGGTAATTTCATTCTCTCATTTAATTCCTTGTTGTCTCCATTAGACACTATATTCTCTTGTATTTTCTGGGCCAGGTTATTTGTAATATCAATGCATGCTTTTCATCTTAGAGCTCTGACATTTTGGTGGTGAGTGAAGAATTCTTCTATAGGTTGTTCATCAAGTACTAAAATGCTTTGTTTAGCAAAAAAAACTTTGATAAATAGAAATATATTGTTTTGATATTGCTTTTATTCTAGTATTGGCAAAAACTCTCTGAGTAAGTTAAACAGTATTTTATCCCATGCTTTCAGATATAATACATCAACTTCTAGACTTTGGTATTTCCTACTAAATACTTTGTAACTGTTTCTCTGCCTGTTGGTGTTTCTTTTTTAGAAGTGACATCTCTTGTTATCCTGTATTTCTTTCTTGAGTTGATTTTTATTTAATTCCTTCAATTTACCTCATTTTACCTATGATAGACTCAGTAATATCAGTACCTTTTATAAATTAGTTTGTGCTTGCACAGTATTTGAAGGTAACTCAGAAACAATGGCTGTTACAAGTTTTTGATTTCTCGTTGTATACTGAGGGTGTAGCAAGAAAATAATTCTTTAAGAAATAAAGAAGGAACTTTCAAATCTGCAACTTTGTATTCAGATGCTTGCATTTTTAAAGGACATCTAGATGAGAGGTTTAGTAATCCAATGAGGTATTTAAAAACTTTTCATATCATGTATCACATATCTGAAAGGGCAACATTACCAAGTTAAAACATTCAGAGTCTGTCCAAATTAGCAAAAATTTTCATTTTTTTTTAATCTGATATGATTTTTTATATTATCATTTGTGTTTATCTGAAGCAAAAGGATAACAGAATACTACCACAAGGAGAGGAAAGGTTAATTTAGCTGCTCTGTTTCTGATCAAGGAAAGAATAGCCATTTAAATAATCAAGTTTGATTGACGATGTGGTGTGATCAGGATGGCTGAAAGGATGCTGTGATGGTAGTGGAACCAAAATGCTGGATTGCAACCTGATTCTTCTGTACATAAAGCAAGAAAATGTCCCTTAAACTGCAGCTGCTTTCAGTAGCAATTGATGACAATGATGGGAGATAACATTGAAAGATACTGCATGCAATCATATTAGGCCCTAAAAAATTTCCCAGTGAAAAACTTTACTTCAAGCCTAAAAGTAATCAGCATGAAAAAGTCCATTATTTTTATAACACTATTCGGATCATAAAGTCACGTACACAAAAATTATAAAATTACAGCATTATGGTTTCTTATGCAATCTCAGTTCAGCATTAATGCATGTGTGTTTTGTGATTACATTTTTTTTTTTTTGTAGAATTCCTCTGCAAATGCTTAAGTTGGAGGAAGGAAATTTACTTTTCTTTGTTTTCATTGTCCTATGTGTAAACCTGTATTGGTTTTGGTGCTCTTTATTCAGAATCTTCTCTGAGAGCAGACTCGCTTCCTCTGGGATTTTTCTTATGTCTTTTGTTATTCTAAGATGCTTGTTAATGTATTTTCACAGAAAATTCTGCAAATTGAGGTAGTGTTGCAATCCCCCTTTACAGTGAGAACTAAAGGCACGTATTAAGCAAGGTCGAAAACATACCCTAATTTTAGGTACACAGTTTGAGAAATGTAGATCCTATTTAACGTTGAATGTCACTTGTCCTAAGCTTACCTCTCATTGACTTCACTTTGAAAGGAAGTTCTGACGGATAATTTTGCATGTAATTTTTTTTTTTTTTTTTTCAAAAAAAAAAAGCAGAAGTTCCATCATGTAGTGTTAAGCTAACACTTCTATAAATCACCTGCAGGTTTGGAAATGTTAGGTCAATCATGTTGAATTTTATCATATGAACTTTCAAAAATTGTTGTAAATTGTAGGCTGTCTTCCTGACTATGGGCCAGCATTAGGAAGTGGTGAGTTATTTTGTAGGCTGGATTCACAGATACTTATGGGCAAATGAGGGGCAGTGAGACTCATAGTTCAGATTCAGTCCCAAGGTCCAGCAGGGAGTATCTTGGAGCGTCATAGGCCTTTTTACATGTTTCCTGAAAGTGTTTCCTTTTCTTCTCTGTGACCTTCCAAAACTGTCCTTGTCCCAGAATTCTCTCTTCCCTTTGCCCAGTTCCTTTCCTGTCAACTAGCAATGCTGTGCCAGTCTTTTTTGAGGCTTTTTAAAGCACTTTCTGTCTCCTTGCCTGACTATTCTGCTTTTACCAGCATAATTTCTTCCCAGAGAGATAATGTTTTTTTTCCCCAAGGAGATCATGTTCTCCATTCCTACTTCTGTACCAAACCTGTGTTTCTTTTCTCCCACATCCATTTTTTTTCTTTCTCACACATCCTGTTTTTCCTTCCACTCCCTTGCTTCTATTTGTATTCTTCTTTCTCAGATGACATTGTTTTTTCTTAAAATTTCTGTCCACTGCATCACAAAGCTGAGGATAACATGAGATCCACAGCATCTCCCTCAACTGCCTACATTTGGAGGAATACCATAAATTATCTTTCAAATTACCCATAATGTATGCACATTTTGTGTGCTTTTTTGTTGTGAGGGCACACAATACTTTTTGCAAGCCATGCAGTTCGTAGGTACTTTTACTCACTTTTGCATGCTCAGTTGAGAAATTTTTGGCAGCTCCATTTCTGTCTTGAGCCCCTAGATGTGATTATTGGCAGCCAGAACCTGTAGCTTTCAGGAGAGTGGCTGCTGGTTTAGTCCTTTTTTATTATAGGTTGGTTGTACTGGTCATTTAACTTATAATGTTAGAAACTATTTAAAGCATATTAAAAGATCCAAGAAGGAGATTATTAAAGGGGCTATCTGCCAAACACAATTCTACCTCATTTTTATTCCTCTGAGGATAATTCCTTTTTCCCTTATTGTGAATCTGTCGTAAACTGTATCCCACGCATGGAATTTGCTGGATTGAGTTTGTACTCTGCAACAAGAGTAAATGAGCACATTTCTTTTCAGGCTCTTCCTCTTTGTATTGCAGTAGAGCATTCCTCATCTACCCAGAACTTTTTCTCAACTGAGGGTATGTAGCATGTAAGAAGTGTATATGGGAAAACAGAGGCTTAGGAGTCAGGCAATATTCAGGCTGCCAGTTGAAAATAAGGCCTCTTCGGGCTGGCATGACTGATATCAGAAGTTCGTTTTGTGGCACAAAAATGGATCTCTGTGCTAATTAATTGTGAGCATTATGACAGCTATCACTAGAATACTTGCTACCCTGCTAGAAAATGCCATGCTTCCAATAAATGACATTAATCACTGAGAATTATTTCTATAAGAAGAAATCCAGGGAAGTTGGCTACCTCACAAACCATGTCCTTTGGCTCAGAATTTTTGGTAATGCCCATCAATAAATTATTTTCTATTCTGTCTTCACTTATGGCTCATGGTTTGTTTGATAAAGAGATTGTTATACGATTTCTTTCAACTGTAGCCTCTGTGTCTTTGTTTCGCCCTTTTACTTTTTTCTTATCCCTATATCCCAGCCCTGGGTTTTTTCCACCACTGATTTCATAAACAGTGGAGAAAAGCAGGAGGCCCTCTTTATAACCTCAAGACAAAATCCAGTAATTTCAGTTTTTTTTCTTGAAAAATATTTAGCTAAAAGGAGGGAGAGGCAAACTGTAAACAACAGAAAGCATTTAGCACTTGGGTGTCTAAGTTCAGCCCTGCATCAAGACCAAAGGAGTTCCCTAAAGACAAAAAATAAAAGAAAATCTTCCATCTTCTATAGTTGGTTTTGTCTTTTTTTGAGGGGGAAGGAAAGACTTAGGGATAAATAGATATGAATTGCATAAGTTCAGGTTTCACTTGAGAATTACTTCCCTCTGTGCTTTTTCTTATGTTGCATTTTTTTTAAAAAGAAGATATATTTTAATTAATGCAACCACCATGACTTAGTATTTTTACCTGGCAAGGTAAACAGTGTTTGACACCACCAATTACATTACGGAGGAACCATGTGTATGAGCAAATAGGGATCATATCAAAGAATGTAGTGGATGCCAGTAAACAATAAAATTAAGGGAGCTGCACAGAGCTAAAAAAGATGGAAATCTAGACAGTGTTTATATTATCAATTAAATGTTAGACTCTGTCACAGGCTTCTGCTAAGCTGTTTTGTGGGAACACAGCAAATACTTTTAGATGTTGGAAATTAAGTTTTATCTTAAATGCGCTCTTTTCTACAGTGGAGAAAGTTGCATGCAAGAATTTCACTCTGGATTTCTTTCTTTTCAGACCTGTTTGTGGAATCAGAGGGAAAACTCTCATAATTAATCTGCCAGGTAGCAAGAAAGGATCACAGGTAAGAAGTGTTCTTACTGATCTGCTACTGACAACCCATGATGAGTGCCTCCCATTGTTCTGAATGGTAGAAAGTACCCACTACAACAAATTTTACAAAAGTGAATTGAAATACTTATTCATATAACTGAACACACCACCACTCTCAGTCAGGAATGATACAATTCCGATCTGACTGAAGGTACTGTGTGACCGGGGCAGCATTACATGTAGTGCAAGAGAGCACTCAATGTAGCAGGCAGTGCTGATCAAGAGTCTCATGGTCTTTTACACCTCCTCCTTGTTCTCTAGTCAGCCTGTATCTGATCCCTGTGTTCTCTACAGCTTCCAAGAAAGAGTTATTTTTTACACAGAAGTAAGAGGAAGGCCTAATGTAGAGTAGAACTTGCTGGGGCATGAAGATTCAGTTTTGGTCGGCAAGAGAGGAAAAAAGGGAACATAATTTGTAGGAGTTTGAGGATTTTTTAAGTCTTTTGGATAAGGATATCAGACTTTTACACCCTTTATACAGTTTATTTTCTTCCTGCATTTTGCTCAGTTTGGACAGGGAAGTTAGGCATTATGTTTTTAGCCATGTTTACTTTCTGACTGTAGAGCTGAGAGAAACACAATTCGACATCAGGAGGAATTTTCTGTGTGTGCGTGTTATAAGGCTAGATCTTTCCAGTGCTCCTTCTTCCTATGTAGTTGGCTGATAAATCCAGAACAATGGCCTTCTCCACACAAATACTGCCAAGTTGAATAGTGGGCTGTACAACCTGATGCAAAACTGCTAAGGTAGATCCCCCGTCAATCGTGAGAAAGTATTTCTCTAGGGCTCAGACTTTGTCAGTGGCCTTGTTAAAAAATGTCTTTACCTCTGGCCTCTAACAAATGTGTACCCGGTAGTTTACCATGTCTTCTGAACCAGTAATATCCAGTCACAGAGGAGACAGTACTAGTGTGTTTGGCAGCACAGCCTTGAAGTCACTGAAAGACATTGAAAGACTTATGTCTGAAGATAGATAAAGAATGTTTATGTGGGCTGTCACCTGGAAGTTGAAGATGTTTTGAATACTATTATCTTGAGCAGCCATCACAGATTTTCAGATACATTGCCTATGTGTGTCAGCTCATAGACTGAGTGAGCCCTTCTATGATTCTGCCATTCCTTAAAGCCTTTTTAGGAAATCTAATAAGACCCTGTAATTGAAGAAAAAAAAAAAATTAAAAGCCTTCAAAACGTGCAACAAGCGTTGGAGGATGGTGAGGCAGGAGTCTGCTTACTTGAAAGTCTTCCAGTTGTGACTGCAAAGTCATATGTATATGTATTTAACATAGCAGTGGGCCCTGTGTCTTAGAGAACTGATGCACCAGTAAGAAGATTTTTCCAGAAGTCTAATCTTCTTTTGTAGAATTATGAAAGAGATGAAATAGCTTACAATCTCTAATGGTTTTTGTTGTGTTCAGTAGCACTCCTAACATGCTAGGTACAGAAAAAAATGTCATTTTCTGCCCTGAGGCACTCAGACTACAAAGGTAAGTAAATTGTAGAAAGAGGATGAGGAAAAGAAATGAAAAAAAGGTTAATAACTATTTTTAAAATAGTTTTATTATAAAGTAAGTAATAAAAAAGGTAATTCTGCTGGAAAAGAAAAAAAAGTCATATGATTTCATTATATAAGCAAGCTTTTAATAAACATTATTTATTTGTTCCTGTCATGATGATATTCTGTTTTGTCACAATTTATTGTAATGTGAAACATCTTTAAAGTATCAGATTTCAGCAAAGATTAAGACAAATAGTACAGAAAATTGTTCCCTAACAGGCTGGATCTCAAGAACCAAATAGGGTGGGTTGTTACCAGGAATTTCTCTCATGTCTCTCTTTATGACTTGCTAATTTATTTTCTATCGTATTAATACAATCATGTAAGAAGCTTATATTAAGTTATGAAATTGCAGTAGTATATGTACTTCATTAATAAAATATTAAAATATTAATAGAAAATGGCAGCAGTGTAAATCCTCTGTCTCAAAAGTGGACATAATGCATGCCAAATGTGCTTTCTCCAGAGAACATTTGCAGCATGTGCTCCTGAATCAAGATCTGTAGAATGCTCTGGTTTTGTGTTGTTCTGGTCTCTTTTCTTTTCTTTTCTTTTCACCTTGCAAAAGGTATTTCCTGTTATGAAAGAGGGTAAAGGGAGAAATTACTAGATGCTCATTGAAATCGTTGGATCTATGGCAATTTTCATGATTGTACTAACAATTGCCTAAAAAAATGAGTTTTAAAAATAGCATGAGCTTTTAAAGTACTTACTGAGAACTTATTCATCAACAGTCAAGCTAACAAGGCTTTATTTCAGTGGTAGGAGTGAGGAACATGCTTCTCTAATGAGTTAATCATTAATGTACTTTTTCATGTTTATTGGTCAGTTCACAGGTGGTTGTCCTTGTTTACCACTTGGGGTCTGCTTTTTTACTGAAGTACTGATGGATGTATGCTTCTGTATTTTAAACCATTTTAAAAATAATACTGTGGAGGCACAATAACTCTGAGGTTTGCAGTTACATTGCAAGTTATAATTCTTTATTATGTTTGCAAATATATTTTATTTTATATTCATTGTATACAGCATCTTATGCTCATCCAGTTTACTCCGGTTCTTCAGAGTGCCAAACTGAATGTTTAAAGAATTTAAAAATCTATGAAGTAGTCTGACTTTTCATTACTCTTAAATGAAAAACTGAAGGGTGGGTTCTTATTTAGAAGCTTTGAGGAAATACAGTGTTTGTGAGTCATGTTTTTGACTAACAAAGTGGCTCATATAAACTCAAGTAATTTCTGATGAAGAGTTTGCTCTTTGTTTACATAGTCCTTTATATTTATTGAAATTATTTGTTACAATATCTATTTACAAAATGTTTATCATTATTTAGTTTCTGGATACTCTTAAAATGTTGGAATACATTTTTTAAAATCTTCCTGATGCTTGAAACAAAACCAAAAATTAAGTGCAACAAAAGGAATAATGTCAGCTTTCACTGTCAACGTATATGTTCCCTGACTGCACTGCCATGGCAATTCATTCTTGTGACCCTGCCATCATTTTCCAATAATTTAATGTTTATATGCAGTCTGCTCAAATGCCATGAAGAAAACTCTTCACTGAGATGCTTGGGAGGAGGATGAGAGACAATAGTCATAAATTGAAGAAAGTAGCTTCCAGATGGATAAAAAAAAAAGAGGGGGAAAAAAAACAAACCACTTTGAGGGTAATTAAGCATCAGAATGGATTGTCAAGAAGGGTTGTAGAGTACCTGTTCCTGGATTTTTTTTCGAGACTGTACTGAACAAAGCCCTAAGCAACCTGTCTGAATTTCATATTGACCCTGATCTGAGCAGGAGCCTGCACTGCATGACGTCCAGAGGGTCCTCTTTGTTATGATTAAATGCTAGCATATTTTAGCAGGAGAGGTAGCCATATATGTGTATGCCCATTATGGAACAAAACTTACACAACATCTGTATTTTTTCTTTCTCCGGCGATGTAAAATGAACCTTCTAATTGTTTTTAAGATCATAGAGCAAGGAGAGGTTTGAAAAATAGATTATTTATGAACAATTTTTTCTGAGTTACGTAAAATTAAATGACATCAGTGTAGTTTGTCATTCTTCCAGTATATAGGATAAGTGCATGAATAAAAAATAATATAATTATATAAAAGTATAATTATGGAAGCCCTTATGAGTTTTTCTCTAATTGTGAAGGAACATAATAGGAATGATTTGAAGCTAATATCCCTTCAGGGATAGAGTTAATGTTTTTATTCTGCATTTTTGTAGCGTTCTGCCAACTGCTGTGAACTAGTTTCTGTATTATATATTCATGAAAATTTAACTCTTGTTTTCTGAAGTTTTAATCCAATATTAGCTTAATTACAGTAGCCCTGTTGTACAACTTACTATATTTGCATGAAAAAAGGCAAAAATATATAGTATAGTCCCCAGTTCTGCTTCTGAGTTTGTTTTTTTTACCGTCTATGAGCAATTGCATAGGGCATTTAAGGTTTTATTTATGATCAGGTGAAAAGATACACCTAAATCCCGAGTATCTTTTAAGAGTAAATCTGAACAATCCCTATTTACTTGTGCAGGTAACTTTTCATAGTCATTTTTCTTCTTATCGTGCATAGGAATGCTTTCAGTTTATACTGCCAGCCCTACCTCATGCCATTGATCTTTTGCGGGATGCCATTGTAAAAGTAAAGGAGGTACACGATGAGCTTGAAGATCTACCTTCACCACCACCTCCTCTTTCTCCTCCTCCAACCACCAGCCCTCACAAGCAGACAGAAGACAAAGGAGTACAGTGTGAGGAAGAGGAGGAAGAGAAGAAGGATAGTGGAGTTGCCTCAACAGAGGACAGTTCTTCTTCACATATAACAGCAGCAGCCATTGCAGCTAAGGTGAGTCTGGCTTGTTTCCCTAAGAGCGACTCTAGTTTCTATCTCAGGTGCTTTCCACTAATATTCATTTACATGTTAAGACTATGCATTGGTGTCTGTGTGGTCAAACAGATGTATTTTAGGTACTTTTTGTAGAATTATAGCTTCGTAAAAATATATGAATCCTGTTTTGGTAGGTGATCTCAAATTTCAGTGGGAGATATGTTTATTATCTTGACAATAACTTGCATTTTTATGATACCATTCTGATATGACAGACTATTTTTAGTGGGTTTTTTTAATTCAAAGTACTCACATGCCTCAACATGCAAAGTCCAGTAGGTGGCATATTAAGGAATCACTACAAAATTTTCTAAGCCATAATATCTATTTTGAAAAAAAAAATGTTGGTTTCTAAAAACATTGATAAAAAGAATGATAGATAGGTAGCAGGTTAAGTAATAAGCTATCCAGACTACTGTGCATGTCTACGTAAGAGATGTGAAATTCTGCTGCAAAACTAAATATCATCCTATTGTCTTTTTAGCCTTGCTTTAACCAGTAATAATAGATCAACATTACTCAAATGAAAATAATAAATTTGAGGCTACAAAAGGAAAAAATTAGATAACGCTTGGAAATCATTTCGGTTCAAATTTTAAATATTTTCCAAAGAAATGTCATATCATTTGAAGCAATATATAAATATTTAGCTCAGTTTTGTGCCTTCAGTTTTCAACTGGAAAAACAATGTATTCCTTTGTGTTTGGAAAGGTTTTTTCCAAACTGCTTTGTTCTATATTTACTCCACAAATTATGCTTTTCATTCTTATTGTGGCAATTGAAAGTCTAAGTAACTCAAAATTGTATTAAACAATTTCTAAACCAAAGCAGCAACATTCTAACTCCAGAAATGTGAATTCAGGTCTGAGACATCCTGACATTTCTAAGACAGCTGCAGCTGGAGATCATCTCCTCATGTACAGAAAATCCTGATTACATATATTTTACAGGGATGAATTAAGGTAATTATCACTTGCAAGTTTCAGTTTTTATTAATGCAAGTTTTAAATTGGTTCATTTATTTTGATACAGGCAAAGATAAATAATATGTGCAATTTTTAAAGGCAGAAAATACCTGAGATCTAAACTGGCTGTGTTCATATGAGCTTGGCATTTCAGTATCACACTTGTTTTCACCTCATTCCCTTTCAATCATTTGCTTGTATAGTTTCATGTTTTCCTGTCACCGTATTCATAGCTGTTATGTGTTGTGCATTAGAAGCATCCATCCTACACCAGTTCAGCTGTTATCATGGCAAAAGGCGAACAGCCCATCCCTGGTGTCATCAGTTATTGTCATCACGCAGCAGGCAGTGCAGGAGAACTGGTAAGAGACACTTCCAAGAGGCTTTTGCACTAACAGTAGCTAAAAATACACTGCCTGCCTCCTAGTCTACTTTGTGAACAGACAGTGTTATTTATGTTCTTCTAACAAAGACACATCAGTGCTATCTTTTAGAGAACATGCTACAGAAAATATTCTGTTTAAGATACAGGGCTAAACAAGGTGAGTTCATGTGCGTTGTCAGTTTGAATCATTTGGCTGCTGAGATAATAATTGCTGTAAAGCCTGTATTTCTGATTAGTCATTGGCTTTATCATCTAATATACTCAATAAATTAATATAATTAAAATAATCTCCTAAAATTATTGTAGAGCTATGAAATTTTGGTCACTTTTTCCCCTTCATCTACCTTGCTTTGCTTTTTTCTCTCAATAGTTTGTTTGTCAACATGATACAGCATTTGCACTGGGTGTTCATAATTTGCTTTCATCTCTTGCAGTTTCTCCCTTGTTTTTGTACTCTGTTTAGAAGTAGAATTTCTCAGAAATACAAGAAAATATTTGAAAAGTCAGGATACAGTGGACTTATTATAAATTACTGGATTTTAGTGAATAGTAGGCAGTTCTTTCAATTAATGGTAGAAAGGACTTAGTTTATTATAACTCAGGCTCTAACAAGATACTGTACTTTATTTTCCATCTCCTAAAGGTTTGGTCTAGGCTTGAATCAAGATAGAGTAATGGCTACAGTGTCATCAGGAATGAAACATAATTTACTGTATTCATAACTGTAGGCTAGAGAAACCTAAGGAAGGCAGTTGGTCTAGAGAGAGTTGTGCTGTCTGACCCATTCAATCCATGTGAGCCAGCAAACAAGGTGTAAGTTCTTGGGAAAATATGTCACTAGATTTGATGACCAGAGGCTGCACTTTTTTGTTCCCTCAGGCAAATAGTAATTTAAGCCATCAATCAAATAGTGTAACACCTCTGTAGTTAAAACATAATGACTGTGTCTCTTGAAAAGTCACTTACAAGATGTGAAGGCTTTAAAGTTCACATACGTGATCTAAGTGTACATACACAGACGTTTGTTAATTTTTTTGGGTTGAGGTTACTAAACTATAATTGGCACCGTATTCTTCAGTATCGGTAAAACAGTGAATTCAGCCTCTCTGAAGCACAATGTTAAGCTGTCATCCAGGCATCTTAATCTTGAGCTATAGTTTGAAGTATTATAATCCGAATCAGATCTTCAAACTCAGAGCCAGAAGTGGATAGATTTTCAGAAGGTTGTTGGGTTTTTTAAGCTGTCCTTTCTCTGTGTTTTTAAGATATTTTTTTCTCTTGTGTAACAATCATAGTAATTAACATCTACAGCTTGTTTTCTTAGTACCTCACCAGCACTGTCAATCTTTGTTCCAGTCCTGGGCAAAAGAGAATAAAGAGGTCATATCTTTTCCTTTTTCTTCTTCTTGTCAACACTTAGTTCTCTAATCTGAAAAAAAAAAATATTTAAACCAATATAAAAGTACTTCTGGAAAAGATCAGAAAAAAAAATGTAGAAGTAATGACTAATGGATATGGTGAATATCTTTCTCTGGCACTTCATTAATTTCTCATCCATTTCTTCTTTTGTCACTGTGTTACAAGAGGTTTTCCACTCCAGCTAGAGCAAATAGAAACTATTTTCACTGAACTTAGTTTTATTGTACCCCATTTAGAGTTTTGAGACCTCTATCCTCTATTAAATTTGTTTGAAACTGGTAAATGAGTTGAAAAAATTCAGTGGGAGACATCATAAATATTCAGAGAGTGACTTCGTGAAAGTTTACCAAAAAAAATAAATGTCCAAAACACAATAACATTCCTTCCCTTCCCCACTGCAAATTTTCAGGCTTCAGGGAACACAGAAATTTCTCATGGGTTTATCAACTTCTTTAACTGGGTTAACAAGAAATTGCCTTGATTAGAGACTTAGATTGCCTAAATTTAATTTTAAAAGGAAAAAAGCTTACTAAATGTAGGTGAGAAAAATGAGAGATTCCCCATATCACATAACGTGCATAGAAATGCTAGTCATATTCTATTGTCTCTTTCACTTAATGAACAGTATATATCCATCGTATTTTTTTGTATTTTTATGTTTATGCCATATACCTATTAGTACCTTCTCTGAAATCAGCATGTTGAAGTGGTTTAAAGAGAATATTAATGCTGGTTTTAGCTGTACAACACACTCGACTGTCTTATTAGAGAAATAAATCTCTTGAGAGAAAAATTTGTAACTGTGAACTAACTTATTTCTCTCTGTAAGATTTTGTGTCTGAAACCTGGCGAACTGGAACTTACAGTTCTAGATAGGTTTATATATGGATTGTTTTATGTCAATTGTATTTTCTGTAAAGGTAGTGATTAGGGAATAATTCTCATTGAAGTTAAATGCCTGTAATAATCTTTTCCCTTTATCTTCAGCTTCCTTTTCTGATGAATGTCCTGGCTGAAATTGTACTGAAATTTAAATTTTTTCACAGGCAAAAATTAGTACTTCACATGCAATTCAATGGAGACTGGAATTATCAGTCACTTTGTTAGAGAGTTTTTTTTGTTCTGAAAAAGGTGATATTGGGTAAAATTCTAGAAGTAATATGGTTGATGGATATGGTGGTTAGGAAAAAACCAAACCACAAACCACAAAACCACCACGCAGTTGTCTGAAGAGGATGAGACAATATGTAATGTAGATGTGGTGCTTAGGGACATGATTTAGTGAGTTAGGTGGTGTTGGGCTGATGGTTGGACTTGATGATCCTTAAGGTCTTCTCCAACCTTTATGATTCTATGATCTGGTTACTCTACAATAACCAGAGTAAACCCAGGGAGAACTGGATCATGGTATCATTCGCAAAAGCAATAGTGTATTTGTATTGTGGAATCTTGGAGTATGTAAAAGAGATAATGGACCCATGCACAATCATATCAAGATATGTGCAGCTTTTTGTCAGAGGAGGGTAAAGAAAAGGTGTCTTATTTGAAGAGTAAAAACTTTTTTTCTTTTATTGTGTGTTTTTTATTTTATGCCTTTTTCAAAAGGTAATTTTTTTGCTGCATTGTCCTTAGTCATGGAGATTAAAAGGAAGCATTAAAAGTTGTAGGTAGTATGGTAGCTATGCTAGTGCAAAACTTAGGGATGTCAACCTTTTTTTGTGTTTGACATATTTAAGATGGGATTTAAGGAGAAACAGAGAAAAGCGAAATGGTGCTTCTGACTACAAACTGTTGGCAGAATATCATTGTCCCTGTTTACCTCTATTTATAGTACCTTTCTAAGATGCCATTTGCAAATCAGAATACTCCAAGTAGAGGCCAGCAAGGCACTGTTTCTGGAGAGGGAGATAGACCCAGCATGATCGTCCATAGTGAAGAGAAACTCTACTTCAAAATTTATAGTGGAAATTGCAGCACAAGTTACTTAGCCTTGAAATATCCTCTGAGGAAAGCTGGGTTTTATAAATGCTGACAAAAATTGGCTGGCAAAAAGTATCATTCGTCTAGAAACACAGCAGTAGAGCAGAAAGCGGGCCATTGGTGATTCACTGAGAACAAGATCTGTTTCCATACAACTTACAAATAGGTTATAAACTTGAGAAACTCTAATCTGTGGAGGAGGATTTCTGGTGAAATAAAATCCCCTAAGTATAACCCAGTATCTCTAAGTCAAGGTTGCTCAGTTAGACATAGTAATTATTTATAGATGGGAACCAAGGAAATTGAGGGGGAAAAAATGGCATTAAAAAAAAGCAGTATTTAATGACTTGAGTCTTAATATTGGGCATTTTAACTGTACAGAGAAAAGCAACAAAGCTGTCTTAATATTCTGACACTGGTCCTAAGGATACAACAGATTTTAAAAGATAGGATTCAGGCTTGTTCTTGGCCTGGAAGGTACTTTCCAGTGGCTTCTATTTGCCCTAAAGCCTTACCAGGCAAGAATGCTCAAAATGCCTAGGTGCAGACTGGGTACAGTATCTCCATTAAAAAAAAAAAAAAATCTCCTGGCTGGAAACATTCAGTGGTTTCACTTGTGACTGAGTCTTCATTTCTTGCTTCCTTTTATTCTCTGCTACTGCTATTTCCCCCAAACATGGGGGTTATTTTGGTGGTTTTCTTGGAACTTGAACATCAGGCTGAGCTAAGAAATTCTTAATGAGGAGAAAGATCTTGAAGTGTGTGTATATATATTCCTTCGAAGATGTCAATTTCTACATTTTCTTGTCTGTTGTGAAGGAGGTAAAAGCAATCTGATCTGGTGGAAGTGCTGCCTGTAGGCAGCACAAAAAGGAAAAGGTTAAAGTAATTAAAATCAGAATAAGCCTTTGTAGAGAGCATGTTATAGCAGAATATCTGCTGGATTTTGTGTTGTAGAACTGATGTTAGAGATCAGTTCTCCTATCTGAGATATTTATCATTTGTATGTCTTACCATTTTACACAAAAAATAAAAAGATAGTCATTATGTTAAACTAGCTGGCGTGATATCTACATGACTGGGCCCAAATACTGCAGTAGTAAGAAGCAACAGGCTTTCTAAGACTTGGTATATTAAAGCTAAGAAAACCTTTATTCTTAAATGCATTCTTCAACCTCTTTTCCTTGGAACTGGTGATAAAACTGAGCAGAACAGACAGGAGATAAAAAATAATGAGAGTTTCACTTTTATAACTGAAAATAAGATTCCCTTATTCACTTTCTCACTGTTGTAAGCTGGTGTAATTCCATTTGTTTAAGTGGCTTAATAATACCAGCTAAAGGATCTGTCCCTTGAATTCCAGCTTAGAAATAAAATAATAGAATAGAATCATAGAATAGTTTGGGTTGGAAGGAACCTTTAAAGGTCATCTAGTGCACCCCCGCGACACAATGAGCAGGAACATCTTCAACTAGATCGGGTTGCTCAGAGCCCTGTCTAACCTGACCTTGCATGTTTCCAGGGATGGGGCTTCTAGAACCTCTCTGGGCAACCTGTGCCAGTGTTTCACCACTCTCATCGTAAAAAATTTCTTCCTTATATGTAGTCTGAATCTACCCTCTTTTAGTTTAAAACCATTACCCTTTGTCCTATTGCAACAGGCCCTACTAAGAAGTCTGTCCCCATCTTTCTTATTAGCCCACTTTAAGTACTGAAAGGCTGCAATAACATCTCCCCTGAGCCTTCTCTTTTTCAGGCTGAACAACCCCAACTCTCTCAGCCTTTCTTCATAGGAGAGGTATTCCATCCCTCTGATCATTTTTGTGGCCTCCTCTGGACCCACTCCAACAGGTCCATGGCTTTCCTGTGCTGAAGACTCCAGAGCTGGATGCAGTAGTCCAGGTGGGGGTCTCATGAGAGCAGAGTAAAGGGGGAAAATCACCTCCCTCTACCCGCTGGTCACGCTTCTTTTGATGTAGCCCAGGATACAGTTGGCTTTCTGGGCTGCAAGTGCACATTTCCAGTTCATGTCCAGCTTTTCATCCACCAGTACCCCCTGTCCTTCTCCACAAGGCTGCTCTCAATCCCTCCATCACCCAGTCTGTATTGATACCAGGGATTGCCTCAACCCAGTGCAGGACCTTGCACTTGGCTTTGTCAAGCCTGAAGTTCACATGGGGACAATTTTCAAGCTTGACCAGGTCCCTCTGAATGGTATCCCATCCCTCAGGTGTGTCAGCCACACCAGTCAGCTTGGTGTCATCTGCTAACTTGCTGAGGGTGCACTTGATCTCACTGTCTTTGTCATTGGTGAAGATATTAAACAGTACTAGTCCCAATACGGACCCCTAAGGGACACTGCTTGTCACTGGTCTCCATCTGGACATTGACCTGTTGACCACTACTCTCTGGATGTGACCATCCAGCCAATACCTCATCCATCAAACAATCCAGCCGTGGACTCCAGTTTAGAGAGAAGGATGTTGTGGGGGACCATGTCAAGGCCTTACAGAAGTCCAGATAGATGACATCTGTATCTCTTCACTTGTCCACTGATGGAGTCACTCCATCATAGAAGGCCACTAGGTTGGTAAGGCAAGTCTTGCCCTTGGTGAAGCCATGTTGGCTGTCTAGATTTACCTCCCTATCCTCCATGTGCCTTAGCATAGCTTTGAAGAGGATCTGTTTCATGATCTTCCCAGGCGCAGAGGTGAGACTGACAGGTCAGTAGTTCCCAGGGTCCTCCATTCTACCCTTTTTAAAAATGGGTGCAAGTCACTGGGGACTTCAGCTGACTGCCATGACTTTTCAAGTGTCACGGAGGGTGTCTTGGCAGCTACATCAGTCAATTCATTCAGGACTCTGGGATGCATCTTGTCAGGTCCCATAGACTTCTGTATGTTCAAGTTCCTCAGGTGATCACAAACCTGATCTTCACTTACAGGAGGAGGGACGTTGCTCCCCCAGTCCCTGTCTTGTGGTCCATGCACTCGAGAGGTGTGGGAAGAGAGGCTGCAAGTGAAGACTGAGGCAAAAAAGTCATTGAGTCCCTCAGCTTTCTCCTCATCTGTTATTATCAGTTTGCCAGTTGTATTCATCAGGGGAGGACAACGCGCTTCTAATACATTATGCATAAAAAAAAAGATTGAATTTTTATTTTTCCCTTCAGAATGCATTTTAAACCAAGTGTTGACTTTGGATGGTGGTTTCTAGTGCTTTTGCCTGTACTCCCTCCAGAGAGGCCTGTAGCTTTTGCAGCACAAACCTTATATCAAGAATTTTTGTGTCTGAAATAAAGTCTTCAGTACACCAAATGAAGAGTATTTACTCACTGCATGACATTTCTTATGAGAAATTATCTCACTGCATGACATTTCTTCAGAGGGGTTCAGTCATTGCTAATAAATGGTTTTCTGTTCAGAGTATTGTCCCCTAGTTAGAGAATGGGAAGTCTGCCTCCCTTCATGCCATGGTAGAAATCACTGGTCATTGTTGGGTTTGAAATGGAGGCTTAATAGGAAAAATGTTACTTTCTTATTATTTCCTGTTATAGTGTGTCTAATTCATCATTTTTTCAGGACAAATAGTATGTTATGTGCTACTTCAGTTAGAATATGATCTTATATATTTGCTAGGTATTTGTTACTGCAGTTATGAGAACATGCCATTAACCACTGCCAGCACTGCATATGAGGAGGTATGCAAACTGAGTGGGGTATTCCTACATTTTTGATGTAAATTTTGAGTAAGTTTTAAATACAGTATACTTTTTACTATTAATTCCATCTGTCTTCTTTTTAAGATTCCAGATTCCATCATCTCTCGTGGTGTTCAGGTGCTCCCACGTGATACAGCCTCCCTCAGTACTACTCCTTCAGAATCTCCACGTGCCCAGGCCACCTCTCGTCTCTCCACTGCATCCTGCCCAACACCAAAAGTAAGTACATTTATGCCTTGCAAGCTCCATGCTCAGATATATTATCTCTGAGATTAATGTATTGCCTCTGCTGAAAAAGGTTGGTTCACATGCAAGGGTTGTATCATTCTAAGTAGTAGATAAATTCAAGATAGTATAGTTTATTCCGTGTGTGCTGTTGCAAAATTTAATATGCGGGTCCACCAACATGTTACGGGTACTGAAGTTTCATGTTATCTCTTGCAATATCAATCATGAATGTGAAATTGTTAACACCTTGAATGTCTTTAATATCCCCAGAAACATAGATAATCCTGCCACTGACTAACAACATTAAGCAGGTAGTAGTTTGTCGACAAGATGTATGTGCAAATTTCTAGCCTGGGCTGGGGCAGTGCAGTGCCCCACTTCATTATTGTTTGTTTTAAGGCACTTTCAAACCAACTGGTTTTGCTCAAACTTAGATATTTGCTGCCTGACATTTGGAAACAAAAAACAGCCTAAATTGAATAGAAAGAAAGTTTTAATGCCAACCTTGTGGGATTACTAATCAGTTCTTACTGATCAAGCTATACTATTTAATCATTGAGGTGAACTCTATGCTCACTTTTTATCAAACTTTAAATAGGTGAATTGACCAGTGGCAAGGCCTGTAATGTTTACCTTCAGCAGGCTTCCTTTCAGCAGAAGAAAACTGTCTGAATTCACTTTCTGTGTTCACATCACAAAGATCTTTCTGTGGCACCAGATGCTGACACACTAATAGACCTGTAGCAGATGGCAAACGATAACATTCTTCCTCATCTAGTTCATGATCCTTGAAGAGTATTCTGCTTACTAAAGTGATTGCCAACATCTGCTAGTTCTTCTTTCCTGCTGTCTCACTCTTTTCTCTCAGCAAACAAGATTTATTGGCAACCACCCATAGAAATGTTTTGGTTTAGCCTATGGGATTGTTTTGTGCAGTAGTCACCTTCACTGTAGTAGAATCAAACTTGTTCTGATGGACAACGTACTTGAACTTCATTATATAGTCTACTTTTCTTAAGATGTTCAGTGAATTCTATCTGCAAGCGGCTCCATTTTTTTTTCTAAAAAATTGTCATGTCTGATGGCTTAAAAATAAAAACTCCAAACTTATTACATTAGAATACTCAGAGCAGAAGAGCAATATGAAACAGAGAAACCTCACAGAGTTTTATGCCTGTTGGCAAAAAAAAAAAAGCATCCAAAGAAAACCAATGCATACCAGGCATAAAAGCAGACACAGCACTCCTAAGAAATAGCTCTAGATGAAGCCTATGTATTTTCAGGAAGGTTATAATAATGTGAAGGAGGAGTAAAGCTTGTCTGTTGTGAAGCAGAATGCACTTCTTTAGACTATCTTCAAAGATGCAGAGATTATAGTAGGAAACTACAAGAACTTCGAAACAGATTAAAAATCTGAAACTCTTCTTTGGGGAATCACTTGAGAGGAGCTCTTACCGTAATTGGATCATGCTTTGGTATTTCATGTTAAGCCCTGTTTTTCATTTATGACTGCAAAATGAGATTTTGTTCAAATGTGTGAGACCACACCACTGTTATAACAGGAATTGCCATGCAACATTTAGCTAGTCTAGCTTTTCTGTGATGTCTTTTGCAAGTGGGTGGTAGA